GTGACCTTGTGCCCAAATGCCAGTTTCTGTTGCCGCAGTCGGCGGCCAGCCGATTACCTCTCTCGCAGAGGTCGGGCTTGCATAAGCGTTAAATCGCGGTCGTTACACAGAGCGCGAGGAGCTCTCGAGAAAGAGAGAGACCGAGGGGCAGGGGGAGCGGCGAGCGCGTAATTGGTCGTATTTGGAGCAGAATAACAGCGCCCCGGCTGCTCGCCACCCCGAGAGAGCGAGAGAGAGAGAGAGGAAAAAAGGGAAGAGCGAGATTGCGAGAGCGAGTTCTCCGATGATTCGAACCGCGTCGGCGATCAGAAATGGTTGGCTTTCAGCGAGGAGTCTGAAGGTAGAGGAAGCTGCGGGGATTGGATGTTCCGCTCTTTATCGACAAGCGGTGGGAGAGAGTTCGAAAAATTTTCGTAGGTGAACCCGGAAAGGGAGTTGGCCGGCAGTTATTTGGCGGGAGGAAAAAAGATATCCCGATTGGTTTAATTAACGCGCCGAAACCGTCGAAACGCGCTCATACGTGCTTGCGTGTCTGCGGGAAACGATCGCGTTTCTCTCTCTCTCTCTCTCTTCGCGGTTCCAGACCGTCCCGACGGCTCGCGTGATATCAGCAAATTCTAACGTCGCGCGCGATCCGCGACGTCGTCTCGACGGTGTGGATAACCGATCGCCGATCGGTATATCTCCCACTTTATCGAGTTTCCAATTTCATCCGTTCGTTACACGTTAACGAGCGATTACTTCCTCCTGGCGAACTCCGCAGCAACATCGATACCGCCCGCTGCCCGTCGATATCCTGAGCAAATTTGCCCTTTAATTTGCCGATAGCTTTCACAAAGCGGAGCCTGATAATTCGCCAACGTCAGCCTCGCTTAATGAACGGCGTTAGCTCGGCGATATTATTTCCCAACGGTCGTAACGCGCCGGTTATATCCCCTCAGCCGGGGGGAGGGGAGGGGGAGGGAGACGTTAAGAAAACTGCAAATGTGCCGTGTAATTTCGCCCCGAGTCGCCCCTATACTTCGTAATGATACAATATCATTTCCATTATTATGGTAATAACGCGAATTTTTATACACGATCCGTCGTAACTCGCCGTTGTGCGTGCGGTCGCTTTTACCTTCGATAACGTTGAGTCCGCGGTAAACCGCCCCTCTGCCCACTTTTCGTTAATTCATTTCTAGCGAGCGAGGTTGACATTCTCCTTGAAAATGAGCTCGATTCGTGAATACCTCCGTATTCGCCGAGGCATCCGAGAGGTCCGCTCGCGTGACTCATTCTCGGCAACCGGACGGGGAAAAAAGGTGCATCGATCAATCAGGCCTTAATGCCTCGTGATCGAGTGCTACCGGCCCCGCTGGGATCTCACCCAGAAGAGCGAAGAAGACGCGTAGGAACGTGGGATATCGATCGTGGAATGATGGGGGCGCGCAGTTAACCTTCGTTTCTACACGATGGTCATTAGGGTAGCTACTCTCGTCTTCCTTCTTTTTGCGACGGTTCCCCCTCGTAAGTTTGCTTGTTCCTCGATGGGAGAAAGGGAAAACCCGACAGCGCCGGCGGATGTTATCGGACGGTGTATTCGGCCTTGAAAATATCCCGAGGATACCGGCGATTAACTCGTCCTCCGCCGACGAACTGTTGCTTCCAATTTCGCCGGCTTCGAAATTTTACGAGGGGACGAGANGGGGGGGGGGGGGGGGTACCGCGCCGTGCGCCGCGATTAAAAATATCGATCGTTGTTTGTAAATAAAGGAGAAAATCGGGGGAAGCCGTTATAAACTGAGCGTTATTTCCGAAGCGTATAAAGACGCGGAGATTTCCTCACTTCCGGAGCGTCTCGTTTCTATTGTCGACGTCGTTAATTCGCCGATCGCACGTTGCTTTTCGGCGTACGATCGCGATGTGCACGAGGCCGCAATGAATCCCTCCCTCCCGGACGCAATTATAGAACAAACGCCGGCGATAAAATAGCCATTTCCTTAAGTTACGGGGCCTATAAATACGGAGGATGCTGTTTTACGCGGGACGATAAATAAGTCGCGGACTAACGGGGCACGAATCCGTCCGCGGACGAATAACGCGCTCGAACGACGTAACGAACCGTTCTCCATGTCGACACGTTTCGCTCCGCGAGACGATGGTTATTAAGAAAAAGTACGGCGCGCGTTTCTCCCTCGAGCTTTCGCTCGAAATAAAACACCGCGACGCGAAAAAGCGCGCAGGTCATAATGTAAGCCGTCTCCGACGTCACAAAAATACTCGGAGACGATATTTAGAAAGAGAGAGAGAAGAAGACTTGGCAGCAACTTGTAATATATTGTCAAGTCGTCGCACGTCCCCTCTCGTCGAGCAGCGACAGACGATGTAGGGGGTCATCATCATCGTCTAGTAGCTTACCAACTCAAACCCTCCGCCCTTTGCCGCCTGGTCTCTCTTTCGAGGAGAGCTTTAATATCTCAGTCATGCTCCCGGTTCACGGGCTATTAATTATCCCCACCTAGTTGCTCACTGAACTCGTCGCCCGTGGGTCAGGTCGATGGATTTGTCGCGAGGATTAGCTTCAGTGACGCGTTAAGCGAGAGAACGAGAGAGGACAGACAGGGTGGGGGAGAATGCCGGCTCTCTCCCGTTATATCCAAGGAAGAAAACGATAGATCGATCGGTCGTGAAAGATCCGATGGACGGGAAAATGTCCTAGATACAACGAGAAATTATCCTACGGTCCGCTCCAAAAACGGCGCGCGTTTTCGATATCAGTTTTTTCCCCTTTTTTTCGGCAAAAGACAAGCCGGCGATGCCAAAGATTTTACATACTTCTGCCGAAATCGCCGACTTCGAGAAGAGAGCACGGGGGAAAAAGAATTCTGCTGTTGTAACTAAATTCGCAATTAGAGCAGAAGCGGTTTCGTTTGCCAGAATAGAGAATATTCTGCCGAGTGAATTCGTCCTTAGGACGAGTTAATTTCGAATTCAGCCGCGACAGCATAAAATCTGTGCCAGCGTGTTATTTTTTCCCGAGAGTTCTCGATGTAAAATATTTAACGAATAATCGGCCGGATATTATTAGCTTATCGTTGAATGTCGGTCTGTGCGACTCGAGCAACGACGTTTCAATTACTTTAAAATGCACAGGACACGTTTATGCCACCGGCCCGCGATCGATACGTCGCTAAAATGGAATGGACTGCACACGACCATTGACAGACGTGGAGTCACGGCCGACCATGCTTCTATTGTTACCGATGTAAGAGAACCGGTATGTAAGTTTCATACTTTCCGAACTAACTTCTTTCGCGTTCGTCAAACTTCGAATAACTGGGAATAAGGGAAAAATGAAACTGTTCGCGAAGAAAAGTTATTCTTGCGGGGCGAATCAACCTGCGCGACAGCGGGATCGATACTCGCTCGCCTAACGACCCGTATAGAAGCTACACTCGAGATCGCGTATTTCGATGCGATCTCTCTCGTGTCGGAAGTGGTCGCGCGTCGATCGGTCATTAGTCTAGCGTTATTAATTGATCGTTGGTACGCGTCTCGTCGAGTCGCTGTTTCCGCCGGTCGACCCCCGTCGTTTCTGCAGAAAATCAGACTCGCGCGACGTGCGACGCGAGGCCGAAAGTTTCGGTGTACGGCCTTCGGCGAGGTCAAGCGAGACACAAAGCGCGCGCGCGTTGCCAGGGTCACCGACACGTGCCGATCGGTGTTGGTAAAGTGTTCCACCGGTTTATTTATACGAGCGACGTGAAGCGACGGTTTCGGGTCACCGCCTCGTCGGCGGCGTGCCGCGTCCTACGGTAGCAAGTAGCGACGATTAACTCAGGCGAGCCGCGTCTATCGCGGTAATCCGCAGGAAGTTGGAGGAACGACTCGCAGCTGGCGTCCGGAAACGGACGAATACGCACGCTTGGCGGCTTCTTCTCCGTCCACCTCTTTCTTCGCTGTCCTTCCCTCCCTCCCTCCCTGCGTATCGTCGAGAAACGGGAATGACGAGCGAGCATAGTCACGCGAGAGCGGTCAAACAAAGAAAGTCCAGGACCCGGCGAGAAAGCGCCGAATGCAGCTGCCTCAACGGTCGGGCATTCACTTCCCCGGTTCGGTCTCGTTTCCTCAGGCGATCCGCCGGACAACGCGAAGGAACTTCGTCCGCCGCTTTCGGCGAATTCACTCGATGAGCGACGACGCCATTGTTATTAATATACGCCGATCTCGATTGTAGGCGGGAAGAGACGAAGAGCGCGATCATTTGAATGAAGGAGAGATGTCGCGCGGCGACATTCGCGGCGACCGATAACTTGGCTCGAGATTGATCACAGTACGATATACGAGTGCAGGTTTACATGCACTCCCTTATCTGTCACAACAAGGCCGTCGAAAAGTGTGTTTCGCTGCGCGATAGCAAACAGCCGGAGCGATTTGACTATCGCGGAAGACCTCGCACACGTTTTCACGCCGTCTTGAGGGACGAATTGTTATTCATAATACTGAAGTCGCGGCAGTGTTATTCGCACACGTTTCAGATCATTTCTATGCCGAGGTTACGAAGGAGGCGATTAGTCGAGCAAAAAAACGAAGAAAGGAAGGAAAAAATCAATAAAAGAACGCCGCGATAAACGTGACAGATAGCGAGCGACTCGGCGGAAAAGTGATTAAGCCTTAAAACGAGACTGTCGGCGTAATGCAGTTGTGTGTGTCGCGGCAGTCTAATGCATTATTATATGCGTATTTGAGATCGCTCGTGCATGCGCCAGCGCTATTAATGGCGCGCGTAGTCGAGCGGAAAAGTAGCGGATAAAACTTTTTCTCGTCATTGCATATCGTAATGCCAGGCATCAATCGGCCGAGCGGCGGACGTAATACAACGTCCAACCTTTCACGGCGCCATTTATCGAGGCGGGGATCTACTTTCGATTCAAACGCGTATGAATGGCCGGGCACGGATATTCCCCGTCGTTGATGTCGACGTCGCGCGGCAAGAGAACCATTGGAATCTGACTCACCGGAGCATCCTCTCGTGACGGTCCCTCTCGAGCAACTCCTCCGGGCTGGGCGGTTGCGGTCCCAAGAGGGCGTGAGACAGCGGCGGATACCTGGACGGCCTCCACAGCATCTCCGACGAGACGTGATGACCCGGTGGCGCGGGACTCTGATAGCCGACCGGCGGCGCGGTCGCGGCGGCGGCCGCGGTGGGGTTCGGCGCACCACCTTGGGACGGGTGCGCCATCAGGAGCGACGTGTGCTGCACGCTCTGCACGTGCCAGACCCTGGCAGGCGTGGCGGCGGCGGCCACCGCTGTCGGCGCGGAGGACGAGGTGGTCTCCTCGACGCTCAGAGCGGAACTCCTGCTGCCGCTCCTCTCGTCGCCCGAGCCGGCGCTCCTCAGGGAGCTTACCCCGCTGTCGGAGCCGGTGTCGCCGTAGGCGACGCCGCTGCCACCCGACGTTGCCCGTATGCCGCCGACCACCGATGGCACACTGGCGAGGACACCCGCTCCAGGTATGCCGGCCCCGGCCTCCACCTCCATGAGGCCGGCCTCATCGCCGCCCCTCGATGTGTGAGACTGCTGTTGCACCTCGAGGAGGCTCGACGGGGTCAGGTGGGGATGGTGATGGTGCGGGCTGCTCGTTAGCTGATGGTGGTGATGCTGCGGCTGTTGCTGCGGCGGTTGCTGCTGGTGATGGTGATGATGGATCACCGGACTGTCGGCGGAGTAGCGTTGTTGGTGGTGCTGCTGTTGCTGATGGTGGTGGTGTTGGTACGACTGGGGTTGCTGCTGCTGCTGGTGGTGAGGCTGATGGTACGGTTGCAGATGATGGTGGTGATGGTGACCGGCGATCGGCGGTGGCGGCTTGTTCAGTCTCTCGGCTAGGATGACCGGGCTTTCGTTGTGCCGATTGCGCTCCTGCTCCCGCTGCTGCTCCAGGAGCAGGCTCTGCCTGCCAGGGCCGCCGCCGCCGCTGCTACTAAGCGGACTCAGCCTCTCCAGCACGGAGCCTGAGTCCTGACTGCTCGACTCCAGCAGCTCGACGACCGATTCGACGCTGGCCGCCCTCACGCCGCCGACGCTACCCACGCTATCCTCCGTGCCTAACTCGGTGGTGGTCAGCTCGGTTCGGCGCGAGCCCACCTCCTCTTCCTCCTCGTTCTCGTCGCACTCTTCCTCCTCCGCGAGTGCCCTTGTCTTCGATCGAGCGGTCGACTTCAGCAACGACGGGCTACCTTCGCGGATGGCATTCGTCTTGTCGCTGACCACCGGCGGGTCGACGTGCAATCCATTCACGAGTAACTGCGGCTGAGGCTGCTGGCTTTCGTTAGCCTCCCGTTCGCGAGAGTCTTTTTCCGATTCCGACCTGCTACCTGGTTGCTCCTTGGAACCGCCTCCGGGATCTACTTTGTCTGGAGGTGGCGGCTCGGGTTCTCTGTCCCTTTCTCTCGATTGACTTTCCTCGTCTTCCTCGAGTTTGTCGACCTCTCGCTCGGTCCCGTCGTGTTTTCCCTCCCCCGCCTCCTCCTCGGCTTCTTCCTCGTCCTCCTCCTCCTCTTCCTCCAGCACTACCTCTCGATCCGGCGAGGCTTCCTCCGCGTTTTTGCCCTTACTGCTCTCAGAGCGAAGCTTTCTGCCGACGGGGCTTGTTCTCAGCCGCTTAGTCAGTGGATCGCAGCGGCTCCTCTCCTCATCCTCTCCCTCGAGACGTCCTTCTTCCTCCTCCTCCTCCTCTTCCTCCGACCTGCTACCGAGACGCTCGTCCTTGTCGGCGGTTCTCGCGGTACCGGCGAGCTCCCCCGCGTCTGTCTTGACCTCCTGGCCGCCTCCTCCCGGCCTTGGTCTTCTTCGCGCTGGTCTTTGCTGCGGCGCCGGTGGACCGTGGGTCGTCGGGCTCTTTACCGCCGCGCCGCGTCTTCGTAACTTCGAAGCGCTTCCCGACGCGCTGTTCGCCTCTTCCAGCACCGGCCGCGCCACGCGATTGCCCACTCTACCCGACGGTGGGCCCTTGTTCTCTCGGTCCTCTTGCTGTCGCGCGGGTAACGCCGCTTCTGAATCCTTCTCGCGACTGGCACCCTCGCTCACGCGTCTGCGTCGATTGTTGCGGGCGTTGTTCCTCTCTGAAACAGAGACAGACGGTGCTACGATGTACCTGAGGTCGGCCAGGGTGAAATTAATTACCGAGTCGGGCTTAGCAACATTGATTAACTGAATTCTTCCCTATCTGTTGGCGGGAGTGTAAAAGCCAACCGAGTCTCGATATCTTATGCCCCACTTCTGTGATAACACAATGTATAGCCCGGTAAAGTTTGAGTGCGCAACAGCTTATTACCGCGAATCGCTCGCTTTCGCGGTGTTATACACAATTCCGCGACTGAACGAGAAACGGCCTTTAACTTGCAACTCCCGCGGTCTTTCCCACGGCCTTGTGGCGAAAATTCGCGTGAAAACTAGTGGCGAACTTCGCGAAATTGTCCGGGGGGGGGGGGGACGATTTCTTTTCCTTTCATCGCGATAAACTGCGACCGGGAAACGTCACGCGACGGAAGCCGCTGATTTATGCGCGCACGGGGAGCAGCCCGGCGAACAAGCGGCGCGGCCGCCGCTAATTATTGAAATTATCGACGGTACGCGTAGATTATCGCGCACTCGATACCCCTGTGCTCGAAGGTTATCTCGATACCCTTGATCGGACCGCATAATTGTGGCGGACGATCGATCCCTGCACTACAGCTGTCTGGTACATCGGCTGTTCACCGTTCAGAGAGATTATGGAGCTGATTTACCGAGGTAATCCCTTTGATGTGCGCAGCCAGTGATTCGCATAACTCGGTAACCCTAGGACGCTATATATAAAGCTGCCTCTCGCTACCTCCGCACCTACCAACCTGTCCCTGCACCCCTCCTCATCTCGCTTCTCCCCTCGTAATCGTCGTCGTTCGCGAAATTCAACGTGCTGATTCTCAAACACGAAAAGTGCGCGCACGACACGCTGTTCAGCCGAGGTCACATCGCTCGAGAGAGGAAATTTGGCAAAACATCTTTCTCGTGCTTCAATAATTACGAGTATAATTCACAACGCAGCCGGACGGCGTTATAATTAGCAACGGTAGTCGAGGGGCGCTTCTGAAATCGAAATTGCTACTTCCTACGTTCCGACGTTGAGGTAAATCACGGTAACGATGTAATGGTATTATCGTCCGCCCCGTTGGCGCCCGTCCAAAAGTCGATAGCATCGGCGACGGGCGATATAATAGCCGGGTGCAAGTTAAAGGATTGTTATTGGTCTAATATTAAATTACCTCTCAGTTTATTGGACCGAGTAGTCGTTACCCGCGCGCCGTACCGTACGTATCATTATCATCCACGTTGATCCCGGAGGTTAGCGTGTGCCCGGCAACGGCAGTGCATTATCAACGTCGCCGCCGTAAATCTTCGCCGCTGACCTCGATCGAGAGCGACGAGGCCTCCGATGTACACACATGCACGCGTCGTCTGTGCGCGTCAAGGAATCGCTGGGTTTCCGGTTCCCGTCGGTCCGGGGAGCCGAGTTCAAGGGAGTTCAAGGGGGTCCTCGATTAACCCAGTAGGAGGAACACGGCCGTAGCATGGGAGCAATTTACAACAATGCGCGTCATACACGTATATCACGAAGAGAGGAGGCGAGCGGATAGAAACGCATGCCCATATACGCGTGCATCCGCGCGAGGGAGAAACTGGTTGGGAATGGACAGAGAGGAGGATGGACAGGTGGAAGAGGCGCGCATACATACACGCAGAACAGGCAGACTGGCAGAGAGATGTGGAAGGAGGATGGGGGACGTGGGGAAGGAAGACAGAGCGGAGGGATTTATTACTTGGGATTTACTGTTATTACCCGGAGGGGGAGAACCACTCTCCAACGGCGGTGCATGCGTGGGGTGTGTTTATCCGATACGTGCAGCAGTTCGACCGTGTGCGCACCCGCAGCACACGGATGGACACACGCGCAGCAACGACGAGTCGATGCGCATCCCGTTTCCTAGCGACTGCGGTTTGTCGTCCCGTCGTTGCACGCCACGCATGCATTACGTCGCGCGTAATTGAACAGTGATCGCGTACTTTGTTTCGTGCTGTTGCTCGCACGTGGTGTTGCGTCCACGCGGCCCTCATTTTCGGACCGAATGCGCCCTATCGAGCTTTCCATCGATACCCGATGAGAAAACGATCGAGCCATCTCTCATTGCTTTGTCAAATATCGCGCGACTGTTAATTCAATTGAACCGTGATGTGATAAAGTAAAAAAAAAAAAAGGAAACTGAATAACTTCGTAACTGCACAAATTATGTCAAGTGACGCGAAAACGACACTTTGATTCTGGTGGGTTTCATTTCTAATTGCTCGTGTACGAACAAAATGAATGTGCGGGGCAAACATTTCGGAAAAAATTGTCCCATTATTTTCTTTTCCTAGCTAAATAAATAACATTTCGACAAATGAACAAAAACATCGAGAGGAAGGGAAAGGGAGCGAGTCTTTTGTTGTATTTTTAGTGAGAGAGCTATGGGTTACTGTTTTTTCGGAAAACATTTGATGACTCACCACATCGCTTCTGCAAAACGAAGTGGAAAGTGGGATAATCTCGGCGGGGAATTTTAAGAGAAAATACGAGGATCCTCTGGAAGTTGGCCTGGTCCCTCATCATCTGAATATCGGGATATCGAAAAGGGTCGAAGATTATACGGTTGGCGCGGGTCTCGCGCCAAAGCGGAAAGTACTTTGAGAAAATATATCAGAGGATTATTCAACCCGGTTTGTGCTTGTGCTCGGACGTCACCTTTATTTATTGACCGGATGTCACCATTTCCTCTTATTCCCTTTTCAAGATGCGATATTTACGCATTGGAACCGTCACTCGACAGTGAACTCGTGTTCAAATAAACACGATAACATCCGTAACAGGCATCACGTTATCTTACAATCTTGATTATGCGCGATAAGTAGATTATTAATATGCAATTATCATTTCTTGAAAACATCGAGAATCATATCTTATAAGACAAACGATATCGCTCGCACGATACTCGTGTGCCATTGTAACGGATTAAATATTCATACACGGTAGCCGAAGTCGAGCATCGATAAATGTGAAGTATAATGTCAGTCACTGGATTGTTTCCTCGCGGCGGTGTTGCATCAGTATGAATTACACGTGCCATTTATCTGCATACGAGTTCTTATCGTCGTTTGTGCAAGAGCATGACGAGTCGATTTTGTTCTTCGAAGCGGACGATCAGGAAATCAAGCCGTTATATACCGCAGAGAAATATTCTCCGCACCGTGTGGTACCCGAGAAATCCAGTATGCTAATCCGCACGAATAGCGTGGGAGAAAAAAATCCGTTTCTAATTCCCGTTGTTGGGAGGCGGTGATTTCCCATCCAAAAGTGATCGATAAACCCGCGACGATTAGCTCGCATTTCTGAAACATCGCGGTCATTAACACACAGGCATCGACTGACGACGACTGCTCGGCCGTCGTATCTCGCCGCGAGATCTGCGTCCCGGAAACTCGCCAAACCGTATAGCCGAAAGCTGCCTCACACGACCTTGCCACGTAAAAAAAGGGAGAGCTTTAAAAGCGAGCGCGCGCGTCGACGGTACCTCAAAAGGGCCAGCTCGTGAAAAACAACTCCTACACCGGCGCTCTTTGTCACGGATGATGCATCCCCGGGGTTGATAGATATCGCCGGCTAGACCCGACCCAGAGTCGCAGGGGTGGAATTAGGCATGCCTGGGCGACCTCGCCGGGCATTTAAACCCTTTGTCAAAATCAACGCTCCGTGCAGGCAGGTGGCCCTTCTCGAGCGCCGTGGTTAACAAAACATCGCCCTTTCCCTCCTACCACATCTCTTTCTCATTCCCCCTCCTCCCCCCCATCTCTTTCTCGGCCGCCCTTCTCGCGCGTCTACGCTATCGACCACGTCATGCTGAATCCGCATTCTGCATGCGCCATTAGTTTCCGTGCGAGTATCAGTCACTGCCATCCGCTCGCACTATCGCCTCTCTCTCTCGAAACGTTACGTCCGAACGAGCGAACGCCAGATAAATAAATTATCATTCTCGCGCCGCGATAAATAAACGATCGTTCCTTAATCGCACGTCGAGTCGACGGCGTTGACACGAATCGAGATCTGCCGAGCACTCTCTCGTAGAACTCGAGCGGGCATTGCAAGTCGTTACCTAGACGGTGCGCCAAATTTTCCAGCGCCAATCTGCCGGATGTTAAGCGCGCAACGTGCCGCGTTTCGCTTGCGCAATAACTCGCATGAATCCCGCATGAATAATGGATTAGAATTAGATAGTCATATTAAGCGCGCTAAATATGCGGCATGAATGCGAGGTCTTGTGCGAATGTTAATAGGATCGCTGCGCAATTGTAAGGATTGTCATTCATCGTGCGGCGGAAATACGCCGGGAAATATTACGAAGCTCGCGAGTTTTCGAGAAGGACGGGAACGGTGGAGGGCTTCGATAAACGGAAATGCGCGCGACGCGAACGCACGCCGATAAAATAACGCCGCGCGAAATGAAATTGCGCGGGCGATTGATTAAGCGCGCGCACTGCGGCGGTTCGCGCGCGTGGAAGCGATTAATGCACCGATGCGATGGCAGTGTACTTTGATAATTAGGCTGATCAATTAAGCGCATTCGGCGGAAGGTCAAACGTAGCGGCGCAACGTTGCCGCGTGTACGGCGGCTCGCGAACATCAAAGGACGGGGCGCGCGCGACGCGCATGTGAAAGAATCGAATGGTTCGACGGCGAGCCGAGCGCTCATTAAGATTAATTAAGCGATATAGATTTATATCGTTTGTTCCCGTTGCGTCCGCCTGCCGGTTATATCGCCGGGTTATAAAATTTTCGCGATATTATCCACCGATATCCGCGCGCGGATCCCATTAACAGCAATACCGTGCAATTCGACGAGTTAATATTTGTTCAATAAAACTCGATGAATTTCTCGGATATGATATTGTTGGATCGCTCTTGTCTGTTTTTGCGTGAAAATAACAATAATGCTATACGGAAACGACAAAATGGCGAGTAACTGTACGGTTCCGCCGCGTACGGCAAAGCGAC